CACAGCTTGGGTGGGGCGGGGTCTCAGGTAATCAACAGGGCGGAGCAAACAGCTATGGCTGCTCCTCAGTCCTGCCCTAAGAGGTCCTGGGTCTCAGTGTCCTGGTAATCGCTTCAAGCACCTCTGAGAGAAAGCCACCCTCGAGTTCCGCCCGCTGCCAGACAGTCCAGTTTCTCCCCGTATGAGTCTGGGTCTCCAGAGACTGGCCTGGAACTGGAGTCAGGGCCGTAGGGAGCTTGTGCCTCCCTCCCGATTGCAAAAGACATCGGCGTCCTCCGTTGCCAGCCCCTTTCCTCGCGCGCTCGAGCCTCCGTACCTCTGCACTTTGCTTCCGCACCTCCTCTGAGTCTCAGTGTGCTTTTCTCTTTCCTCCTAGTTGTAGAATTTCCACTCAGCCAGCCTTCCTGTGGTTCTGGATGATGTCTGTTTTGTCTTTTAGTTGCATTTTTGAAGTGGTTGTGCGAGGCAGCAATTTCAGGTGTTTACCTATGCCGCCATCTTGGTTTCTCTCTCCTTTTTATTCTTGAAGGCTATTTTCACTGGATATAGAATTCAAAATTGAGAGATCTTTTAGCACTTGAAGAAAAATGTTTTACCAGTTCCTCTGGCCTTCATGGTTACTGATCTGCTGTCTTTTGAAGTATCTTTCTCTAATAGATGAGGTAATGTTTTTCTCTCTGCTTTCAAGGTATTTTCTTTGTGTTTAGTTTTCAGAAGTTTGACTGTGATGTCTTGGCACGGATTTCTTTGGTTTATCCCTTTGGGATTTACTCTGCTTCTTGAATCTGTAGGTTTGTGTCTTTTACCAAGTTTGGGAAATTTTCAGTGATTACTTCTTCACATGCTTGACTTCAATGACACAAATTTTTTGTTTTTTATTTCAGTCACAGAGGTTCCTTAGGCTCTGTTTATTTTCTTTTCAGTCCTTCTTCTCTTGGTTGTTCAGGTTGGAAAGTTTCTGTTGTTCTGTATTTTTTGTTCATTGATAATTTCCTCTGTTCTCTCTATTCTGTTATTGAGCTTAGCCATTGAGCCTCTTATATTTTGGTTGTTGCAGTTCTAACATTTCCAGTTGTATATTTTATATCTTTTGTTCCTTTGTTGAGATTTTCTTTAAGTGTTCATGTCAATACTCATTGAAGCATTTTTTATGATGGCTGCTTTAAAATCCTTGTCAGAAGATTTCACGGCCTGTGTCCTCTCAGTGGTAGCATCTGTTGATTGTCTTTTCTTATTCAAGTTGAATTCTTGTTCTGATGAGTGATTTTTTATTGTACCCTGGTCATTTTGGGTATTATGTTATAAGACTCTGGATCTTGGATGTGAGGGCGATCTGGCTGCGACATCTGTCACCCCATTGATCGCCAGGGTTGATTTGGCTGATCTGGCTGGCTAGGCGGGTGTCCCCCTCCTCCTTCACCGATCCATGTGCGTCCCTCCCGAAGCTGCGCGCTCGGTCGAAGAGGACGACCTTCCCCCCTCCCCACCCCCCCAGAGGACCGGTCTTCGGTCAAGGGTATACGAGTAGCTGCGCTCCCCTGCTAGAACCTCCAAACAAGCTCTCAAGACTCTGGATCTTATTTAAACCTTCTGTTTTATCAGAACACCTCTGGCCCTGTGTTGGTGCGGAAAGGGGTATCAGATGCCTTTTTATTGCCAGGTAGAGGGTGGAAGTCTAGGTTCCCATATGGTCTCTATGATGCCACCCAGCAGAGGGTCTTCGGTACCGCATTACAACCTGATAAGGGTAGAAGACTAGGCTCTCTGTTCAACTTTGCAGACAAAGAGAAGTCCACAGTTTTTTCTGTAGTGTTAGGCTGGAGTAGAGTGGTTTTTGTATAAAAGGTTTCTGGCTTGCTAGGCTTCTCCTTTCCTGGTTCTTCATCTAGAGCAGTGGTTCTCAACCTTCCTAATGCCACGACCCTTTAATACAGTTCCTCATGTTGTGGTGACCCCCAACCATAAAATTATTTTCGTTGCTACTTCATAACTGTAATTTTGCTACTGTTATGAATTGTAATGTGAATATCTGATATGCAGGATGTATTTTCATTGTTACAAATTGAACATAATTAAAGCATAGTGATTAATCACAAAAACAATATGTAAATATATATGTGTTTTCCGATGGTCTTAGGCGACCCCTGTGAAAGGGTCGTTCGACCCCCAAAGGGGTTGTGACCCACAGGTTGGCAACCCACAGGATGAGAATCGCTGATCTAGAGAAAGTAGGCTTTTCTTGAGACTTTTTTTCTGTCTTTGCCTGGTAGCATTTTTGGATTTCTGACTCCTCTGGTACCAAGTATAGGCTATAAGAAGCAAACAACAGCAGCATAACCCATAGAACTCACCATTGTATCTTCCCTTGGGTCCCAAAGTCCCTAGCTGGTGCCTTGCCCTCTCTATTTTTGAGAGTCTTCTTATGTTTCTTTTATATATAACTAGAGGCCTGGTACATGACATTCATGGGGTGAGGGGGTCCCTCAGCCTGGCCTGCGCCCTCTCGCAGTCCAGGTCCCCTCGGGGGATGTCCAACTGGCAGCTTAGGCCTGCTCCCTGTGGCAGTCGGACATCCCCCGAGGAGTCCTTAATGCTGCTGGGGAGGCAGGAGAGGCTCTCATCACCGCTGCTGCACTCACCAGCCATGAGCCTGGCTTCTGGCTGAGCGGTGCTTCCCCTGTGGGAGTGCACTGACCACCAGGGAGCAGCTCCTGCATTGAATGTCTGCCCCCTGGTGGTCAATGTGTGTCATAGCGACCAGTCATTCTGCTGTTCAGTTGATTTGCTTATTAGGGTTTTATTATATAGGATGTCCAGGCTGTTAGCAGAAGGAACAGGGAGATGTGTATCTACACCATCTTGTCTTAGAACTAGAAGTCTCCTTGTCATATTATTTCTACTCTAGACACCTTTCCCTAGGACTATGTGATCTACTGTATTGGCAGACATGACAGATTCCTCTACAGAATTGTACTTCAAATCTGCAGGTATAATGACAGCTAAAGATTATTGTCTGTGGCCCTGTCAGCAGAAGCACTGTCAGTGGAATGTCTCCATAATGGGAAAACAGCTGGGGGATGCTACCTGTCTGACCTGATGGCCTTCTTGATTCTGGTGTCTTTTCCTCTTACAGGTGAAATACATTTGGGAGGTCAAGAACATTTTTATATGGAAACCCAAAGCATGCTTGCTGTTCCCAAAGGGGAGGATCAAGAAATGGATGTCTACGTGTCCACACAATATCCCAAAGGCATACAGGTAACATAGGGCCGTTGTGGAGAGGACATAGTTAAATGGTTTCTACCAACAAAGTATACCAAGAGCAATTACAAACAAAAATGTCATTTCAGAAACTGAATATCCATTTGGGTATTAATAACCATACAATTTTAAATCTTTTAAGTTAGTATTATAAGAGTAGAGGCCTTCTGATTGGCCAGTGTGGCTCAGGGGTTGAGCCTCCACCTATGAACCAGGAGCTCACAGTTCGATTCCCGGTCAGGGCACATGCCTGGGTTACAGGCTCAATCCCCAGTGTGGGGTGTACAGGAGGCAGCCGATCAATGATTCTCTCTCATCATTGATATTTCTGATGTTTCTATCGCTCTATCCCTCTCCCTTCCTTTCTGAAATCAATTTAAAAATATATATTTTTAAAAAGAGTAGAGGCCTTCTGTTTGTGGATCTGTAACTATAAAATGATAGGGAATCTGCAGGTCTCTTTTGCTATACTCTTCTTTTTTTTTTAATCCTCACCCGAGGATATTTTCCCATTGATATTCAGAGAGGGAAGAGAGAGGAAAAGACAGAGAAATATCGATGTGAGAGAAACATATTGATTGGTTGCCTCCTGCACACGCCCCTACCAGGGACCCAGCTTCTGCAACCGGGGTAGGTGCCCTTGACCCTGCAGAGGCGCCTGCAACCGAGGTAGGCGCCCTTGACCCTTGACCGGAATCAAACAGGGACCTTTGGTCCAAAGGCTGATGCTCTATCCACTGAGCCAAACCAGTTAGGGCTCTTTTGCTATACTCTTTACACTAAAGAATACAAAAGAAGTGATGACTATCACTTAAACTGTTGAATGATAATGTAGGAAAGTTGTTAAGAGAGTAAATCCTAAGAGTTATCCTCCTGAGAAGAATTTTTTTCTATTGTATCTATGAGATGATGAATGTTAACTAAACCTGTTTGGTAATCATTTTACAGCATATGTAAATCAAGCCATCATGCTTTCCACCTTAAACTTACACAGTGATATATGTTAATTATTTCTCAATAAAACTAGAAAAAAGAAAAAAGAGGAAGGCCTGCCCTCCAAAGTCACATGAAGCAGTTAGGAAAGCGTGTTGAGCAGAATGCAACCTGATTTAAATCTGCTAATTTACATACTAGTATGTGGAAGAACTAAGAGAACAGAGGCTGTTAAGAGCTAGAATCATCCAGAAAGTCCCCTGGCGGTGAAGTCTTAAGTTTGGATGTATACTGAGAATGAGGTTTGTCTAGATCCGGATTGGGGAACCTTTTTTTTTCTGCCAAGGGCCGTTTGGATATTTATAACATCATTCTCAGGCCATACAAAATTACCAACTTAAAAATTAGCCTGCTGTTTTTAGTCAAACATTTCATTAATTCATCCCTAATGCCTAGGCAGGACCAGACCAAATGATTTCTGGGGCCTCATAGGGCCTGTGGGCCGAACATTCCCCACTCTTTGGTGAGAAGAGAGGCCATTCCAGGCAATTTCACACCAAGATCAAATACCACTCATCCATTCTTTCTTTCATTCATTCATTCATTAATTCATTCATCTACCCATCCATCCATCCATCCATCCATCTATCCATCCACCCATTCGCTCACCTGCCCCTTCTGCAAACACTTATTGCCTATGTGTCAGGCAGCATGCATATAAAACAGGAGGGAAATACAAGGACTGCCCAAGCCGGAATGGAGGATGCCCCTTAGAGGTGGCTAGTTTAAGCATCATGGTGAAAGTAAGGGGAACAAAGCAGAGGGGTCCTGATTCAGTAGGGTTGTTACCAGAGCAGTGTTGTTACAGAGCAAGTGGGAATGTGGGAATGTGGAGAAGGAGGCCTGTAGAAGGTGGAACACTAAGAAGGGTCAAGCAAACTCCATTCTAGTCCTGTTCTGCTCCCCACTCCTGTGTGACATTGGGCCCCTCACTTCATCTCTTTTGGGCTCCTGAGCTATAAAAATGAGTTGTGAAGACCTCTAAACATTAGGATGTAAAAAAGAGCAAGACCCACATTCAGGGAAGACCTACTGGCCAACTACAGCAGTAATCCAAACGGGAAGTGAGAAGAGAGCACTTCCCAGCTGAGAGGGGTAGAGTGCAGGGGAAGACCCAACCTGAACGAGGTTTGGAAGGCCACAAAAACCTCACTGCTTCGGGAACCATATCCCCAGGGATCAGTGTGAAAGGATACTTTGGGTATAGTTCATGGGGAAAAATTGTAAAAATTATTAGCACAGAAATATCTCATTGCTACTGAACGGACTACTCAATATAAATGATAGTTTTGGCAATGTCACTGTAGCCAAATCCCACTGAGATGAGCACGGATGCATGCCTAGGTCACTGGAAAGTGTCCTTTTACTTAGTATAATCACACAGTTTGTGTATCATGTACAACATTATAGAATCAAAATGTGGAAGGGCTGTCCCACCTCCCTTGCTACTAATGGGTTAGATTAATGAGAACTGTTATCATTCCCAGGACATCGTTGCTTCGGTCTTGAAGCTGCCGGCGAACAAGGTCATGTGTCATGTAAAGCGTGTTGGCGGAGCATTTGGGGGGAAGGCGTTTAAGACTGGCGTCATGGCAGCCATCACCGCATTTGCAGCAAACAAGTAAGTGGAGCAAATCTGCTAAATAGACTAAAAATTAAATGAGAGTGTGCTGAATATTAGCAATATCAGAATTATAGAGAAAGAACCAGGGTGAAGATTATTTAAAATCACAGACACTATACCAGTTATTACAACTTTTTTATCCTATATTGTCAAACTACATACTAAAAGAACCAAAATGAGAATCAGTTACTGAAAAGAATAAAAACCACAGTGGAAATACTAAATACAGGTCCTGAAAGGGTGGAGCTTACTTATCCTTAGCATGTGTGTGCATGTGTGTGCGTGTGCATGTGTATGTGTGCACGCGCATGTGTGTGTGTTCCCATGACTTAAATGGAGGTTCTGCTTTTGTTATGCTTACCTTTGTTTAAATTACCATTTTCCTTAAAAAAAAAAGGAAAAAAAATAAATTACCATTTTCCTTCAAGAATCTCAAAATATTTCCCTAGGAATTGTCTTTGAGCAGGTTCTCCTAGAAGGCTCCCTTTCTGTGCTGAGAATATAGGTCAGGTCCTCTATCCCATGACACAAAAAGGCCTTGATTCCAGACCTGTCCTCTCGGGGAGCCCTTGGCAATCACACCACCTGAGTGTCTCCATTGGGAACCGGCCTTTGGATTCTAACTCTGGCGGAGGTTGTTGGCACAGGGGGAAGTACCCCCAGAGCACCCCAGAGCCCCCCTCCCATAAGCAATGAATGCCAGCCACGGTGCCCTGACCGACTGTGTACACTTGAGATGGGCACAGCCTGGGCTCAGGGAGTAGCTCTGCTCTGTCAGCTTGGATGCCACTCAAGCTGTCACAAGGGGTTACATAAACCCTGGGTGATACCTACGTGGTTTCTACCTCTCTCGCTTTTTTCTGTGTTAGACATGGCCGTGCAGTCCGCTGCATCCTGGAGCGGGGAGAAGACATGTTAATAACCGCGGGCCGCCACCCTTACCTTGGGAAGTACAAAGTGAGTAGAAGGGAGGGAGGATTCGTGTTGTATGTTTACTCATGTTGTAACGTTCCCTAAGTGCAGAGGCAGCACCTGGCTACTCTGTAATGGGGAATAACAATGAGCAAACTACTAGTAACTGGGCTTCTGTTTAACTTTCTATTTCTTGTGCTAATTGCTTGGTTACTGGCTGGTAGGATTGGGACTTTGCTGCTTAACCCATAGATGACAATTTGTGAAAAGTGCTGGCTGGTACTGACTGATCCAGAGGGAATAACTGGAAAACATATGAGTATATAAGTCCATGAAAGTAGATCTGATAAGCATACTATTCTCACCTATAAAAAGAGGTAAAAATAGAATGATTCCTATAACAACAGTGTTACGTGAAATTATGATTTGCCAACAGGTTCTTCATGTTTAGGTATATCAGGGTATTTTTGTAGAACTGTCCCAGAAAATTTTCCATAGCAGAAAATAATTATGATTTTGCTTTATAAGGAAGAAGTTTATTTGTCCATTTTTTAATCAGGTTGTTTGTTATTTTGCTGTTGTGTTGAATTAGTTCTTTATACATCCTGAATGTTAACCCTTTAACTGATATACGATTGACAAATATTTTATCCCACTCTCTGGGTTGTCTTTTCACCCTGTTGATTGTGTCCTTGATATATAAAATTTTTAAATTTTGATGTCATCCAGTTTATCCATTTTTTCTTTTGCTGCCTCTGCTTTTGGCATCATATCCAAGAAATTATTACTGAATCCAATGTCATGAAGCTTTTCACAAGTGACAGAGCACACTTAGACTCGGCCCCCCACACGCGTGTCAGAGGCCAAGTCTCTTTCCGCAGGCGGGGTTCATGAAGGATGGCAGAATCCTGGCCCTGGACATGGAGCACTATGGCAATGGAGGCGCCTTCCCGGACGAGTCATTATTAGTAAGTGTTTTAAGGAGCAAGTTCACATTCTGGAAAGTGTTATATAAAACGGTTTAATCTAGAAAATTTCCCATAGCCACATATATTTCATTATGAAAGCATAAAGACCCTCTTTGCAGGGATAGCCACATGATATTGGTGCCTCACTGTGAGCCCGAAGATATTGGGCTCACCATGGAGATGTGTGCCCTCTCCATGTTTCCTGTACTCCCAGCTCTTTCCCCAGGTGCAAGCATTAGACCTCAGCCCTACTGACATGTGGGACTGGATAATTCTTTGTGGTGGAGCCTGTCCTGTGCATTGTAGGATGCTTAGCAGTATTTTGGCCTCTACCCAGCAGATTTCAGTGGCACAGCTACCCTCCAGTCCTAGCAACCAAAGATGTCTCCAGACACGGCCAAGCGTCCCAGGGGGAAAGAGGGCCAAATTGCCCCTCATTGAGAACCAATGCGTTCAACCAAATGCCCAAACGTTTTTTTCCCCTGTTTTCTAGGATATGATTCATACTCAGTACATTCTATGGATTCAGTGGTTAGGGCCTATGCATGCTTCACAGACTTTTGGAAATGTTTGAAACCTGGAAAAAAAATGCATCTGCTCTACTAGTAAAATATGAAAATAAAAAGTGATTTCAAAAGAAAAATTATCCCAATCCCTAAATATTATCTTGCAGCAAAGATGCATTTAAGTTGAGCTCTGGGTCTGTTTGAGCATGTTTGATGTGATGGAGAGGGGGCCTGCTTTTGGTCTGAGCTCTCAGGATGGTACAACAGGGACAGAGGACGAGGTCTCATCACATCAACTCTGGGTTTCCCCAGGTGCTGGAAATTGGACTCCTGAAGTTGGATAATGCTTACAAGTTCCCCAACCTGCGTTGCCGAGGGTGGGCGTGCAGAACCAACCTGCCACCCAACACGGCTTTTCGTGGGTTCGGCTTCCCGCAGGCAGGGCTGATCACCGAAGCCTGCATCACCGATGTGGCAGCCAAGTGTGGCTTGTCCCCTGAGAAGGTAAGACTAAATTAGTCCCACGTACAAAAGATACCGACTTTTCAAGGTAGGAGGGCCACTGGAGGCCATTCATGCTGAGGAGTACGAGGCCTGTTGGTGCTAAGTGATTTGCCCTGGGTAACCCTACTCACCAGGGACCACAAGTTCAGTGATCCTTGTTCCACTCAGGGTGCTTCTCAAAAATCCTGGGGACAGGGCAAAGGGGGTAGAGAATGGGAGAAATCTGTAATACTGTCAACAATAAATAAAAAATTTATAAAAAGATTTATTTAAAAATTTATAGAAAGATTTATTAAAATCCTGTACTCATTTTTCTTGGTTATAAAATGGGGAATTCAGAAGGTTAATCACTACTGTATCTTCCAGGCATAAAGCCCAAAATTCCATCAGAAGTTTTAATACAACAAGGAAATCTCCTTTAAAACATATCATATTTCTGATGTATTATTGCAACCATTTTCTAACCAAGAGCATAAAATAAACTCTGGGGCCCAGGAGATATTGAAGAGTGAGCATTGGATTCTAACTCATGTAGTGAGAAGTATCCGTTGGTTGGGGTGTAATTGCTACCGACAGGTTCTGTCACCCTTCTTTCCTCGCTCCTTCAGCGTCTCAGGCAGCTGTCACCGAGTTCCAGTCCCTTCATCCACAATGGTCTCCTTTCAGTTCTTCAAGTCTCAGTATCAACTCTGTCATTAACAGCTCTGTTCCCTTCCCTGCAACTCTTGCCCCCAGGGTCCTGGTGTGGAGTTAGGTTGGGGACTCGGTGCTCTCTGCCCCTTCTCCCTGTGTCTTATGCTGCAGTGTTGGGGCAGGAGGAAGGGAGGACCAGGAAAACAGGCAGCATCTGCCTGTGGGACTGCTCCCTGCGAGCTCTCTGTCCTCTCCTTGGTTAGATGCAGCCATTTCTCAAGTGTCTTGTATCTGGGCTCCATTTCTGCCAGTTCTCTTGAAAATCGACAGTCCTCTGTGACGGGGAGTTCAATCTCACCTGCCCTTTAACTGGCCCCTCAGGCGGCATCCCCTGATGTCCATGCCCTGTGCCCTATGCTGCAGCCATCCTTAGAAAGCCCGTAACTTCTTTCCCCCGCAGCCTGAGAACCTGTGACCACAGGCAGGAGCCATCTTCATGTCTCTTGAACTTGTGGGGGACCCTTCCTGGCCATCGGGCGACAGTCTCTCTCCCCGATGCTCTGTCACACTTGGTAGTGCTAGGGAAGAAAATCAGATAATGCCCGCCTTTCATCCCCTGGGGAAGTTGAAGGAAAGAATAGCCACCCTTACAAACACTGCCTTAGCCCTGGCCAGTTTGGCTCAGTGGACAGAGTGTCAGCCTGCAGACTGAAGGGTCCTGGGTTTGATTCCACTCAAGGGCATATCCCTGGGTTGTAGGCTCCGTCCCCAGTAGGGGGCCTACAAGAGGCAGCCAATCAATGATTCTCTCTCATCATTGATGTTTCTATCTCTTTCTTCCTCTCCCTTCCTCTCTGAAATCAATAAAAATATATTTAAAAACAAACAAACAAACCAAAACACTGCCTTGCCCAAACTGGCACAGCTCACTAACTTCCAGTGACAGTAGGGGGACAAGAGGCAGCCAATCAATGATTCTCTCTCATCATTGATGTTTCTATCTCTTTCTTCCTCTCCCTTCCTCTCTGAAATCATCAAAAATATATTTAAAAACAAAC